CAAATAAGATCCCAAGGGTCAAATGAATCACTCTCTTGCCAATATAGTTAATTATCTTGCCCTACTGTCCTTTATTCTACCTTTTGATAAAATAATATTAACCAGTAATCTTCCCATGTTTCTCAAGACAGCTCTCTCTCTGTGGGTAACAACCACCATGGGCACCGAGGAAGGAGAACTGTCCAGACCCCAGGCACAATCAGTGCCTGAAGAATACCTTAGTTTATAGTGTTATTGCTCAGCTGTTTCCTTTATATAATCCTGCATAATCATATATTAGTTTATAGAATTAGTGCTTGAAGTATAACTTACTGCTTATATATATTTAGTTTATATAATCATACTTAATACTCATATCTACTTAGTTCTATATAATCTTTCTATATAATCATATAGGTATTGTAGTCAGAGCTGTACTGACACATTTAGTGCTGATTTATATAATCCTTCTATAAAACCATATAGTAGTATGTAGTAAGAGGAATGCCTAGAACAGTCACAGAACAGAAGCAGTACATGGGAAAACAGCCAGTCCAGGACAAGAACCAAAGAACCAGGCAGTAGCGTCCCTGCCTGAAAGGGCATACGCTATGTGGCAAGCTTGGAGCAAATGCCTCTCCTCCTGATAATGGAGTTATAGCACTGTGCATCCAGTTCTGTGGAAAGTAGGCCTCAGGCCTGAGATCCTGGAAGTAACCGAGGGAGAAGAACCCCTCTGGTGTGACCAGTCACGGCTGCTATACATCCTGTCAGTCTTCTCACTTCTGTGCTGACTCAAATCCTCCTCCCATAAATATCTTAAGAGAAGAGCACAAGTCTGTCAGCTCCCACTACATTAAGCTTACAGTTTCCTCCTATTAGAAATCCTTTGAAGTCTCCACCCCCCAGATAAGAAGTGTTGCACATGACACCTGTTGTACACAGCCCACCTCCTTGCCTCAGTGACCTAATGGGGGTGGACCCCTTTTCTGTATATGACCCTCTACTACTGCGCACAGCCCACCTCTCTGCCCAAGTTACATAATGGGGTGGTCCCCTCACTTGTAACTCATGTGATTATGTGTGCCCTATTACTAAGCCTATAGATGATGACCTCACTCATAACCCTGCCCCCTGCTTGTACCTGATAAATACAGATGCTCTTGGGCATTTGGAGGGCCGCCACTGATCTCCACTCACAGGTGGTGTGGCCCCCCGAGTCCAGATGCTCTTCACCAGTTCTTCAGTGTCCTGTCTCTTAACTTCTCGGATCCTGCACCTCAACACAGCATTAAGGGACACCTCATGACCCTGTGGGGCCTCCACAGCCCTACATTTCTCCTCTTCTCCATATGCTCTTCCTACAGGCTCCCTGTTCCTTCTCAACAGGAGTTATAAAATGAGAAATCCCTCAGCCTCTGGTCATTGACCCTTAAACAACCTGCATAGGGCATCCTTTTCCCCTTTCCTCTGGCAAACGTGGAGGTGTGCACCCTTGTATCTAAAGCTAAACGAACCTCTGCTCTGGATCCCATTCCCTCTTATTTCCAGAAGTTTTACTTCATTCCCTTCTCTCTGCATCTTTAACCTCTTTCTGTGGGTTTCTTCCAATCAGCATTTAAATATGCTTAAATGAATACCATGTTGAAAATAAAAATAAAGCAACACAAACCTCCTGGCTCCAGATTTGCCTCCTCCTATGAATATCATTTTGTCCTCTTTTATACAGTCAAATTTCTTGAAAAAAGTATTTATAATTGATGACTTCATTTCCTCAACCCACAGAATTTCTAATCTAACTGCCATTTGCTATCCATACCACCAATGAAGACCTCCTCCTATTCCTAAATTCAGTGAGTCCTTTTTAGTTCTTATTTGGCTGGATCTGAAACATGGAGCACTGGACAATTGACCTCTCTTCCCTCATCCATGTGAATACATATTACATTGGTGCAAAAGTGATTTGCGGTTTTTGCTACATAGATCTTTCTTCTACATCTCTCAACAATTCTCCTCAGTCTCCTTTAAGCCACCTCTTTCTGGTCTTACTCTGAACAATTCCATCTACTCCATCAAATATCATTTATTTCAAGCATACATTATATTCCTCTCTTCAGCTTTGGACTCATATCCTATTGCCCAAAGGACAACTGTATCTAAGTATCTTGATTTCAACTTGCTCCAAAATAAATGCAAATACTCTTTTGGTGTTGTTCCTAATTAACATACTTAAAATTAACTAGTTTCTCAAACTAAATATATGTGTGTTATCTTTGACTTTTCCATCTTCTCCAACCCCTTTATCTACTTAATCATTGAATTTTGTCCTATTCTCTAATGTATCCACATTTCTCTAGCTCCTCTGCTACTAACTTTGGTAAGGATACCATCACATCTTGCCTCCTTACAGCAGGTTTCTATCTGATATCCCTACTATCACTCTTGATCCGCTTTTTAAAAACAAATCTGTCACAAATCCATCCATTTCCCTGCCTTATAAGATGAATCTCCCTAAATTCTTTACATGATTTCTAAGTCCTTCCTGAGTTAGCTCATTGCTTAGCTTTCTAGTCTCCACTCTTTCCTCACTTCCTCTCTCATGCTCTCTTCCAGGAATAATAATGTGCTATGCTCTCTACCCTCTGGGCCCACTGCATATACTGCTTCCTGCCTGGAACTTGTCTTTGACTGTACCTCCTCTGAGAAACCTCTCATCCCTGCAACCAGATTAGGAATCCTTCCTGAACATAACTGTTTCTTCTTCCCTATGTTATAACTGCCTGTTACTTGTCTATATTCTAAACTAGAATGTAAACTCCCCAAAAGCAAGGATGACATTGAACCTGCTCAATCTCCATGAGGGAAGAGATTTATATATCTTCTTGAGAGTTATGTCTCTAGTTCCTAGGATAACTCCTGGCATACAGGGAGCATGTAATAAATACTTGCTGAATGAATGAGCTTACTTCATATTGTAGTTGTAAAAATTAAAGTAACGTGGGAAAAGAAACTAATTCATAGCAAGCCCATATATATATATATATATATATATATATATATATATATATATATATACATACTGTTTGTTACCAAAATTAAAATTTAGCCGTGTGCTCTAATAAACTTGTGTATTAGGTTACTGTGGACAAGATGGCTCAATGTGTTGACTTACCATGTGATAAATTATCAGAGACACATTAGAGGAAAAGGTATGGCCAAGTAAAACAGAAGACTGAAATCTAAGAGTGTCATATTTGACAGTATTTCTCTACTTTTCACCTTTAGGTAGTAAAAACAAAAATATCTATACCAAACAAAAAAAAAAAGCTGAAAATCTAGCAATGAGAGCAACGAGAGAATGATGAATGAAGAAATCTTTCCAACAGTAGCCTTTCTTTAGACTGGGTAAAGACTATTTCGACTCAAGGGTGGGATACTCAGTTTGTCTCTAGTGCACCAGAAACATAAAGATACTACATTTTCCCCTTTTGCTTTTCATCAAAGGTTGGCTTTTCCTTAAAATATATCAAACTACAACAAACACAATAACTAACCTCTAAATAACTGAGTACAGTGTGTCCTGATCTACTATATAGCTAAGACACTATAAATCCTATAAACTTGGTGTTTAATTCTTTACAGTAATGGACAATGGCTCTAAAATCATGAACCATGGTACCAGGTTTATTTGTGGGCATAAAACACTATGTGTGCCCTTTTACCTACGTTAATAAAAACAGCAGCTTCTAACTAAACTTATTCATTTTACTATTTATAATAAAGGTTACTTTTTTTGGTGGAGGAGTAATACAAAAACAACAAAATCAAATTGATCAGTAAGTAGTCTACTGTATCTTTCAGTAAAGTGGACCAAAGTAATTTGAACAACCTTAAAAAAACATGGTAACAGTTTAACTAAAACACTTAACTTACTCTAAAAAATTTCATTATTTTGTATTTTGTTTGTATGGTATTGATACAAGTTATGTAAAAGTTCAAATTTACTACTTCTATTATTGCTCTTTGACCAAGTAATGTTAACTACTTTTCTAACAGCTTGACTTGGGCCCAAATGTGCCTTACCAAAAGCTGGAAAATAAATCCTAGGTCACAGAGATACAGGTTGAGTATCCCAAATATGAAAACTGAAATCCAAAAGGCTTCCAAATCTGAAACTTTCTGAGTGCTAAGATGATATTCAAAGGAAATGCTCACTGGGGCATTTTGGATTTCAGAATAGGGATGCTCAATCTCTAAGTATGTACGTAAATATTTCAAAATATGAAAATATTTGAAACACATCTGGTCCCAAGCCATTTTGGATGAGGTACACTTAACCTGCAATTCTAATATAACCCATTATTCAATTCCAGTAAAAGAAGAGGAACAACTGTTTAAAGCAGTCAGAAAAAAAAAAGTTTGGTTTTTGTCACCTTTACTTTATTCTTTAATAGTTTACCATACCAATGTCAATTCTACATTAACTCACACATTAATAAATTCATTCACTAATTCACCAAGGACTATTTCAGGTATCATTCCTCCCAGTTAGGCCATATTTCATATCATAGTCCTTGCTGTTAGATAGTTCAATGAAAGTATTTGGGGAATGAAACAAAAAAGAGTCTCCTTCAATTAGAGATCTTTTAATCCAGTTTTCCAAAAGCAAAATGCTGTGATAAAACCTGAACTAACAATCAGTAATCTATAAATTGTCTAGCATAAAACCTCTCAAACTGGGTTTTCATAAAAATAATATTGAATAAATGTGTGAACAAATTTAAGAAAGTCAACATCACTTCAGAGAATTAAGACTTCCTCCAAAAGGGTTTTGGATATAAATACAATTATGCATTTAACTGAATTATGCAATTCACTGAAATATCTAATGAAAAAACAAAAAAAGAATATTTATGTACATGATCCTGAAATAACTAGATAATTTCTGCCAAATGATAGGAGCAAAATAAAGGTACAAAAGTTATAAACATATTGAAGAAAATGAAACGGAATTTTCTTACCCAAAGATGACTTTACAATTGATTTAATTCCTGCATAAACCAATGATCCTTTGTTGCCTGGAGATTTCTGATCCATATCTTCTGTATATTGCTTCATAAGTATTTAAATGCATAGGAAATACTAGTGATGATGCATAATAAAATATTTCAAAGCTAAGTTTATTTTTATTTGGAGCCAATTCATAATAGGTGTCAGTGCAAATAAGGAGGTTCTACTCTACTGCAGAGATACTTTCTTCCTCCTACACAGTCTACAAAGTGGTATTTCAAGTTCAAGGGTTTAGAGCAATTTTACTTCATAATATTAGTATTATGTAACTTGTATTTTTATATAAAACATTCAACATATTTATAGACCGACCTTTCAGCAAACTTCAAGAATACTTCTACCTGATTCACCTCACAAAATTCACAATGCAAAGGATATAGTGCAGAGTATACCAGAGTGACTTGAGCTGTGGATCTTCATTTCCAGCTAAAATGTGGTTTCTCCACACCTGCTCTGTATCAAGTCCATACCTCGATAAAGCCCGAAGGCGCATCTTCGTTGCTATATCTTTTTCTAAAGAATTATCATTTTCTTCTTCTGTACATTCATACAAATGACGACCACAGGCCCACATTAAAGATGTAATTGGGCTCCAGGCAAGAGATATCCTTTCAAAAACAGTGAAGTCAGACATTGTTCGGTTGGGAGTTACAACTATCATTCGATTTTGACTTGTTGGATGCCATGCAAAGGAAGCAATGTAATTGTCACAAGGCTGTACACTTCTTTCAATTATTGTGGGCTCAGTTTCATCCCCAATGGGAGTGGGTGTATGCTGCATATCATATAATCTAATAATATTACTATCCCTTGTTAAAGTGGCAAGTAGACCAGTCCTAGTGGGACACCATGCTACTTTTGTTAAGGGTTTTGGTTGCTCAGTCAAAGTCAAAACTGGCTTCTCAAATTTTCTAAGATCCCATATTGCAACCTGACCTTCATAGAAGGAAGCAACACGATCGTGGAAATATGGGTCTACTGTCACACCCTGAACAGCTTTTGTATTTACAAACATCTTTTGGCTTGTATTCCGAAGATCGAATATAGCTAGGTTACGATGCATACCAGCAAGGAGAAGTTTCTGGTCTCGTGGAAGCCAACAAAGAGAGAGACAAGCGTCATTCTGTCCTAACTCATAAAGAGGTTTTGTTACTAATAATGTTGTTTCAGTTTCACCTGCTGAAAGTCTCACTTTTTCCATGGGAACTATATCAGGCGTGTATTTGCTGCAGATATCCCATATTAGCACTGAAAAGTCAGCTCTGTGCTTATCTAAACCAGCAGCAAGCCAGTTACTATCCAGTGGATTCCAGGCAAGGGTATTACACTGTCTTGCATGTTTTGGAACAAACTCTTTTCCTATCAAATCTTTGAACTTTGAGTTATGATCTTGGCCAAGACTTGTAAGTACAACTCGACCATTTGCTTGTCCAACTGCCAGCAGACATTCAGGATCATAATTGAGATACCAGGCAACACATTTCATATAGGGTGTATCTGAATTTATTGACAGTAACGTAGCTGCAGAGTCTTCAGATAAACGTAAAGATCCAGCTTTGAGTTCTGAATTCACAGTAGATTCCACATGATAAAGACTTAGTTCTGAGTCACATACAACAAATCTATCAACCTGGTGTGGTGCCCACAAAATATCTGGTTTGGTACCGCTCATGTTTACTGATGTGCGCAAAGGGTCCACTCAGGTCCATTCACTGAAAATGTTTAAAAATAAAAAATTTTAAAATACCACAAAATATAATTCTTACATTGAATAAACTATTTAGAAAGTCAGATAATTCTCTATTCAAGAAACTTCTTTTTCAACAGATTTGTATTTCTTCTATCTACTATGAATTCAAGAAAATATTTATTGAAAAAAGGGAGAAAGAACAGCCACTTTCAATAAAATGAGCCAGTAGGAATCTGAGACTCCCATCCTGGCTATATTTCCCATGATCAATTATCTAAATTGCATTATTGCTAGAACCTTCAGTTTAACTTCAGGGTTATAACAACTTCAGTGTGGTAAGCAAATTATTAAGTGTTATGCCTTTGAAGGGGGGAAAACTTAAAAGCATTATGAATCATGTTCCTAAGCAATAGTTTAAAGCAGCACTGCCCAATAAAACTTTCTGCAGTGACAGAAATGTTCTATGTTCATGCTGTCCAATATGGTAACCACCAGCCACATGTAGCTACTGAGCACTAGAAATGTGACTAGTTCAAATTTTAAACCTTTTTTTTGAGACGGAGTTTTGCTCTTGTTACCCAGGCTGGAGTGCAATGGCGCAATCTCGGCTCACCGCAACCTCCGCCTCCTGGGTTCAGGCAGTTCTCCTGCCTCAGCCTCCTGAGTAGCTGGGATTGCAGGCACACGCCACCATGCCCAGCTAATTTTTTGTATTTTTAGTAGAGACGGGGTTTCACCATGTTGACCAGGATGGTCTTGATCTCTTGACCTTGTGATCCACCCGCCTCGGCCTCCCAAAGTGCTGGGATTACAGGCTTGAGCCACCGCACCCGGCCTCAAATTTTAAACCTTAATTTTAACTAATTTCAATATAAATAACCATATGTGGCCATTGTAACGAACACTATAGATTTAAAGTACAATGCCATACTAAGAGCTTTCTTCAGCTTTCAGTAATAATCAGCAGCCTTGTACGGCAGAATAAACACTGGAATGTACTGAGCAAACCTGAGTTCTAGTCCTAGCTCTGCCTATATTGGTTATATGCCTCAGAAAAGTCATTATGTGTGAGGAATCCCTTTGTTTTCTCATACACATAATGTAAGAGTTGCTTTAGATTAGTATTTCCCAAACCTCAGTCATGTAGCAAGCTGTGCCATTAATATTTTGCTTTAAACTGACTCATTTTTGAAATCTGAAAATTGACTTTAATCTCTTCATAAGGTCCATGAATCATGGTATGCTATGCTAATTGTATCTTTTAACATACACTGAAATATATAACTATTAAAAAGTTTGTGTTTTATCTACAAAGCATCTTATGACCAGTGATACGCACATACATTTGGAGAAACTGAATTAAGTGATCATTAGAGGCTCTTTAAGTTTTTGGTTCTGCAAACTTTGAATAAGTGTTAAAGTAGAATTTTGAAAAAAGTAAATATTCTAGCATTAGATGAACAAACTAAATATAGCTATAGTTTAAAATGGTGTTTCAATAATTAAGGTTGACTACAAAAATTTAAATGCCTATTTCTTTTTTTTTTTTTTTTTGAGACGGAGTTTCGCTCTTGTTACCCAGGCTGGAGTGCAATGGCGCAGTCTCGGCTCACTGCAACCTCCGCCTCCTGGGCTCAGGCAATTCTCCTGCCTCAGCCTCCTAAGTAGCTAGGATTACAGGCACGCGCCACCACGCCCAGCTAGTTTTTTGTATTTTTAGTAGAGACGGGGTTTCACCATGTTGACCAGGATGGTCTCGATCTCTCGACCTCGTGATCCACCCGCCTCAGCCTCCCAAAGTGCTGGGATTACAGGCTTGAGCCACCGTGCCCGGCCCTAAATGCCTATTTCTAACTGAGACTGGCAAAAGGAATAGTTTAGATTCAAAATGAATGAACATACTTAAAATCTTCATTGCAATTAGTATCTGTACAACTAGGTTGTCAGTTCTCATAGGGTAAAGCTATGGTTCACTTATCTCCCTATCCTTAGTGCTACATATAGAGCCTGGCATAGACTTCTAATAAAGACATACTAAATAGTTCAACTCAAACATAACTGCTTTTCTTTTTAATCTTGCAGGAGTTTCAGTTAGGAATTACCAGCCTAAAATTTCATAGACTCATATAATTTAGACCAGGGGTCCCCAACTTCCAGGGCCACAGAGCAGTCCAGGTCCCTGGCCTGTTCGGAACCAGGCACACAGCAGGAGGTGAGCAGCAGGCAAGGGAGCAAAGAAGTTTCCCCTGTATTTATAGCCACTCCCCATCTCTGGCACTGCTGCCTGAGCTCTGCCTCCTGTCAGATCAGCAGCAGCATTAGTTTCTCACAGGAGGGCAAACCCTATTGTGAACTGTGCATTCGAGGGATCTAGGTTGTATGCTCCTTATGAGAATCTAATGACTGATGATCTGTCACTGTCTCCTACCACCCCTATGTGGGACCATCTAGTTGCAGGAAAACAAGCTCAGGGCTCCCACTGATTCTACATTATGGTGAGTTGTGTAATTATTTCATTACAGAGTACAATGTAAATAATAGAAATAAAGTACACCATAAATGTAACGCACTTGAATCATCCTGAAACCATGCCCCCATCCCCTATCAGTGAGAAAAGTGTCTTCCATGAAACCAGTCCTTGGTGCCAAAAAGGTTGGGAACCACTAATTTAGAAATTTTTATACTGGTTTTATTTCCTTTTTTGGTATTCTCAAGCCCAGGATCAATCATTTCTGTTATATTCTTACTAGCACCCTCAAGGTCTTCACTTCCTTGCCACTTTGGGTTTGCCTTTCCCCAATCCCAGATCAACCCAATTATTTACCATCTTGTCTCCTCACCCAGGCTTCCAAGTGCTACGATACTGAGCATAGTCTCAAGCCTCTGAAAACCAATTGCAAGAAATCAAGGTATATAACATATCTGGTATGTGGTACTGGCTCAGCTTTTCTTTTAGTCATCTTTCCCCTCGTCCTTCAGAAATTCTGCTTTATAGGCTATAAGAGTAATAATCCTTTTACAATAAAAACTTGACCAGGCTATCCTTCCTTGCTTAAAATCCTCTAATGGTCTCCAGCTGCTCTTAGTATAGTGTTGCAAATCTTCAATCTAACCTATAAAACCCGACATGCTTTGGTCTCTGCCTATTGCACACGCCTCGTGGCACAACATTTTTGCTGTCCTTTTACACCGTCCTTTTCACTTCCTAGAGTATACCCTCCTCTTCCATCACCATACCTTTGCAAATGATATTTCCTCTTTTTTTTTTTTGTTTTTTTTTTTGAGACGGAGTTTCGCTCTTGTTACCCAGGCTGGAGTACAATGGCGCGATCTCGGCTCACCGCAACCTCTGCCTCCTGGGTTCAGGCAATTCTCCTGCCTCAGCCTCCTGAGTAGCTGGGATTACAGGCACGCGCCACCATGCCCAGCTAATTTTTTTGTATTTTTAGTAGAGACGGGGTTTCACCATGTTGACCAGGATGGTCTCGATCTCTTGACCTCGTGATCCACCCGCCTCAGCCTCCCAAAGTGCTGGGATTACAGGCTTGAGCCACCGCGCCCGGCGATATTTCCTCTTGTTAGAGCATACTTCTCTGCCTTCTGGGTAGGGAAGGCGGTTAACACCTGCTGATCCTTGACATCAACCACTCTCTATTTCCTCCCTAGTCCAGGTCAGGTTAGTTAGACATACACTGTCGTTAAGCAGTATTCTTTCCCCTGAATCATCCATCTCTGTCTCTTCTACTGCATTATACACTCTATGAGAGCAGGTGAAGTATTTTTTTGTGTGTTCCATTGTACCTCTAGTCCCCAGCACAGTGCTAGGTACTTAGTAGGAAGTTAATAAATATTTGTTAAATAAATGCATGTGCTGAATGGTCCCTCTGACACATCTCACAATTGCTATTTCCAAGTTTTACCTACTTCCTCATGCTTCCACTTCTACCCTTCCTAGCAGAGGTTGGCTCCAGCCAAGATTAAAGTGTCTGCTATCCTAACTGGTTCTAATGATGGGCAAGAGCCCCAAAGTAAGCCATCCTAACAGATGGCTTACTCTAACATATTGTCCTTCATTTATTCTGTAACTATTGATTGGGCACCTTCTATGTTCTAGGCATTGTTATAATGCTGGGAACACAGCAGTGAACATGAGCAGAACATGAGAAGTCTCTGGTCTAAAGAAAACCAGCACTGTAGTGATAAAATTAAGTGAAACCTTAAAGAGAGTTTAAACATTCAAGTATGAGGAGGAAGAGAGGGACTTCATGTAATAGGAAGCAGCTATGGCAGCAAAGAAAAGGAACAGATACTGCCAAGTAAGGGTTCATACTTGCACCCTCACAAAGGAAACCTCTTAACTGAAGACATCATGAGATCTGGCCCATTTTCCCATCTCACTGAAAAATCAATGTTTAAATAAACAAATTTTTTATCTAGGCTTTCATTCCACAATCCTATTCTTTATACCAATGGTCTATGGTGAGCAATCTTGATGGCACAAGAAAAATCCATCTTAAAAAGTTTTAGCGTAATTTTTAAAACTTTAATTTACATGACTCTCAATGGAGAATCATCAGCATTTCTTGGTGTTATGCACCTGAAATATTTATACTGCCATTCACAAAATCTGATGACAGTAATTTATTTTTATTTATTTATTTATTTATTTATTTATTTTGAGATGGAGTTTTGCTCTTGTTACCCAGGCTGGAGTGCAATGGCGCAATCTCAGCTCACTGCAACCTCCGCCTCCTGGGTTCAGGCAATTCTCCTGCCTCAGCCTCCCGAGTAGCTGGGATTACAGGCACGCGCCACCATGCCCAGCTAATTTTTTGTATTTTTAGTAGAGACGGGGTTTCACCATGTTGACCAGGATGGTCTCGATCTCTCGACCTCGTGATCCACCCGCCTCGGCCTCCCAAAGTGCTGGAATTATAAGCTTGAGCCACCGCGCCCGGCCCTTGATGACAGTAATTTATACAGAATCACAGAACTTGAGAGAAAAAGACTCGCAAATTCTTCTCATTTCATGTAGGAATAAAGTGAAGACCAGATGTTTTGGTGCTTGTCCAAGGTCTCTCAACTTCCATCCTACATTACTTCAAAGAGAAAGGAGCAGCTACACAATATGCAGGATGAGGTGCAAAATAAAAATGCAGGGCCCTTATTTAAAAGTTATTATTTGAGACGGAGTTTGGCTCTTGTTGCTGAGGCTAGAGTGCAGTGGCGCAATCTCGGCTCACTGCAACCTCTGCCTCCTGGGTTCAAGCGATTTGCTGCCTCAGCCTCCCGAGTAGCTGGGACTACAAGAGCCCACCACCACCATACCTGGCTAATTTTTTGTATTTTTAGTAGAGACAGAGTTTCACCATGTTGAGCAGGCTGGTCTCGAACTCCTGACTTCAGGTGATCGGCCTGTCTCGGTCTCCCAAAGTGGCGGGATTACAGGCACGAGCCACTATGCCCAGCCTAAAAATTTTTTTAAATGTCAAGACAGTGATAGCAGACTGGCCATTAAAGTAAGTGCTAGCCATTCTAAATGCTGGGCTCTGTGCTACTGCATGGGTTGCACATCAGAAGACTAGTCCTGTATAGAGAGCTGCACCTATGTCTACCCTTTTAAGAAATGTATTTTTTTCACCATCTAATACACAGTATAAACAGTTCCTTGCTCCTGAACATATATCACTAAGAATTTGCTGTAAACAAAACAATCTAGAGTCAGAAATCCTACAGCCACTCCCTAGCGCAGATTCTAACAAATCTTGTAATTACTCCAAAACCATAAAACGGAGATAAAATCTATCCCATTTCCATCTCACAAAGTTGCGACAATCATCTGAAATGAACTCTTCATATCACACAGATGTTAGTATCACTACCATTCCCTTAATGAGCCCTGAAAGTTAATGTTTTTTCCAAATGCTGGAGACATTAAAAAATTAGGTGTTGAAGGAGTGCGGTATGCAATAATTATAGCTTATATTTATATCCTCACCTTCAAGTTTAACAAGTCTCACTTCCCATCAGTGGTTTCTCAGCAAAGGAAAGCAATGCTGATTCTGTGTTCATTCACCAGAATATCTGGAACAGCACTGTCCAAAAGAAGTATACTGTGAGCCATTATGATTTAAAAATGTGTAGTAGCCACATTTAAAAAGTAAAAATGGGTGGAATTAAGTTTAAAAATACATTTTATTTAGCCAACATATCAACAGCATTATCCTTTCAATATGTAATCAATATAAAAATTATCAGTGAGAATTTTTATATATATTTTTTGGCACCGTGTCTGGGAAATCGGATGTATTTTACACTTACAGAACATCTCAATCCATATGGCTACTGGACGGTGAAGTCCAACACACTACAACACTACTAAGTGTACAAAGTATCCAATCACATGCTTTTTGATGTTATCTTTTACTTTTCTTACCGCGGCAAATTACAACGAGGGCGGTTAAAAAGAAATTTCCACTATCAGCATCTTCAAGGAGATGCACTGCACATATCCAAATTACCCTTAAAATATACAAAAGGCCTGCAAAAGCAGTCATTTGCTAAGCAATTCAGCAAAGTCCACAACATGTGTGAGGGTTTCACTCATCCGAAGAAAACAGAGCTCACCGGGAGATACGCCGTTTAAGTACAGTATTTAATAGGGTACAACTGGAACAGGGCACGTTGCAATTCCAGGTAAAGCAGGACTCTGAATGCGACTCTCCCGCTCCAGGCACCTGACTGAGCCTCAGGGGAAAGGCTAGGCCGCCGCTCTCTACAAGCCTGCCGCGGCGAAGGCTGCAGCCCGGCCCCTGCGCCCCGAGGAGGTCCCCGCGCGCCTCGCGGCCGCCCGCAATCCCCGATAGTTCCCTGTGAGGCCCAGCAGGCCGCCAGGCACGATGACCCCACAGCGCGGAACGCACTCCCCGCCGAGACGCCCAGGCCTTTCAACTAGGCTATCTTGGGCCCTTCGCTGCAGTCGCAGCGCTCCCCAGAGCGGAGGCGCAGCCCGAGTCGCACCCACTGACCTGAAGCGGCAGCGCCGCCGCCGCACAGCCGCTTCCGGTCAGGACGCAGCCCCTCCCGCCGCAGGAGCCCGGACGCGGGCAAGATGGCGGCCGCGGCTGCGCGGCTGGTGACCTGGACCACTAGGCTAGCGCCCAAGACCCCACTACCACGCCTCAGGGACGCGCAGCCGAGCCTCGGCCTTGGAAGGGGAGTTTCCCGCCGGGAGCCCCGCCCTTCCCCGTCCGGGAGGCGCCCCGCCTCGGGGCGGGGTCACTGGCCAGGAGGCCCCGCCTGCCACCCGAAAGCCTCGGGCCCGCAGGCCCCGCCTATGGGTCTGCAGGCCGGATCCCCGGGTTCCCAGGCTGGAGTGCCTCTCAGAACCACCTCTGTCGTTTTCAAGTAAGGTCACACACTCTACGTCACTGGGTCGATTTTAATGTCTATTAAACATATTTTTGCGAATGATGTAGTAGGAGATGAAAGGTATTTGGTTAATGATTTATTCGCTCATTTAGTTATTCCACAAACTTGTCTTGAGCACCTGTTATGTACCCAGCACTATGCCGGAATGCTGAGGAGACAGGAGTGAGGTAAAAAGACACGGGCCCGCCTGGAAACAGGCAAGGAGAGCGATGGCTTGGTAGGGCTAACACAGTGCTACACGGGAGGGACGCTCGCTCGGCGTCCGGCGTCAGCAAAGCTTCCTTAAGGACCACTAGGCTGACACGAGAAGGATGAGTATGGGGTTATCCAGGAAAGAGAACAGTGCAGTGAGAGCTGAAAGAGAAGAGCCTTCAGGACTGAGGAAGAGCAAGTGCTAGGTAGGAGAAGACACAGCAGTGAGGAGGCAGTGAGTATGGATGAGTGAGCAGAGGAAGCGGGGAGAGACTAAGATGCTGACACAAAGGGTTTGGAAACCAGTTTAGTGAGTTCGGATAGACTTTTTCCTAAAGGCAGTGGTAGAGTCATCGAAAGTTTTTAATCAGGCAAGTGATATGATCAGTTTTTGTGCAGAGAGCTGGAGGAATGGAGTATCAGAAAGAGGAATGACGGAAAGGCAGGTTACCAGTGGCATGAAGAGTGAGCATGGAGAGAAGTGGGTGCCCTGGGGAATATTTAGAAAGTGGGATGAGTAGAGCTTGGTGATTGACCAAGTGAATGACCGTGAAAGAGGATTCCAGGATTTTTGTTCCCAAACCCGAGTGAATGGTTCCAAAGCCCCAGGTGTCGCACGTCTGAGCCCCAGGCAGTCTTCAGATGTCTGACAGTCTTTGCTTGTCTGTTCATGCTTAAACGTGGGTGGTCTTGGGCTTGTGAGAGTGATGGCTATAAACAGCATAACGAGCTTTAGTACTGATGAGCTTCATGGCAGTTGGTTTTGGTAAGATGATAAGTTTGGGGAGCGTATTGCCTTTCCAATCCTGCCATTAGAAGAGTGTAGGCTGAAGAAAGTGCTGCGTTACTGAGGGGAGACACGGCAGTATTTGTCACTTCAAACGCTATCTTGCCCATCTTCTCAGTGGTTTTGGCCCTGGCCTCAAACCCCCACAAAACCTCCGATCAATACAAATCTTTTCCTTATCCACTCCTATTATACGTAGTTGAGGACAACTTTTCTGCTTGCACTCAGGAGCTGACACTGCCTCCTACTTCAGAAAGAAAAATCTGTTAGGTAGAATTTCCACAGCCTCCCACTACTTCCTCCTTCCCTTCTCCAACATCTTGATTCTCTTCCATTCTTATCTTTTTTTAGGTAACAAAAAGTGAAAGGAGGAACCCTGTATATTTCTCCTCTTCTGAGACTTTGCACCATCAATTGCTCCACTTCCAAGTATCTTAGCTTCTTCATTTCTACTGGCACTCAACACATACTCAAGGCATTCCAATTTTCTCTTCAAAGAAGAGGACCATATTTGCTTTCTGTAATTCCACTTCCTCCTGTCTCCCTTGAATTCACTCCATTCAGTCCTTCATGCCCACCATGCCACCAAAACTGCCACTTGTCAAGGTCACATATGACCTCCATGCTACCAGTTTCAATGGCCAAAACTTCACCCTTTCAGCTTTTGTTTTTCTTGACTACTTCCTCTCTCTTGAAATATCTCATTCACTTGTTTCCATATTATCACTTTCTTCTGGTTTGTCTTTTGTCTCTGTGACTTCACTGTCCCTTAAACATGGCAAGCATGCTCTTCTTGCCTCAGAGCTTCTTCACTAGCTATTCCCTCTGCCTGGAATGCAGAAATCTACATGACATACTCTCCCTTCGCTCAGGACTCTACTCACTTGTCACTGACTACCTATATATTAGCTCCTTTGTTATTGTCTTCATGATATTTACCACAACTTCACATATGTCACCATCTCTTTACTTTCCTATAGTTGTCTACTTCTAGACTGTGTCTTCTTCTTATCCCCAGTTTTCATTGTTTTTTTTTTTTTTTCTTTTTAGTAAGAAGAAATAACTCTACATTCAAATTTGAGCAGGGCATTTGGTGACCCACTTAAATGTGACATTCCTTGGCCTCCCTTTCAGCCAGGTAAGGCTATATTAAAAAGTTATAGATGTGAGTAGAACTGGATCATGTCCCTTAAAATGAAAGCTCCTTGCTGTACACTTTCTCTTCCCTCTCCCTACTGTGTGGCAAATGGCAAAAAGAGATACAGACTGGAAATGGAAGCCATGTATTAACTAAGGCAAAGCTGTTCTCACTAGCCTAAGTCCCAAATCTCAGGAAGCTGGGGCATCTTCTCCCTTGAATCAATCACAGACTTCTGGACCATTATGTAAGAGAAAATAAACTTTGTTCTTTAAAAAAATCATTGTTTGTTTGGCCCTGTTAGAGCAGCTTAGGTAATTCCCTAACTAAAACAGAGGAGCTTTGTCTACTTTATTTTCTGCTTAATCTCCAGGATGTAAAACAGTGCCTAATAAAGAGTACCTGGTCAATAAAAATTTATTGAATAAATCCTAAATCAACATCTTTCTCTAGTCTGTATCCCTCTCCAGCTAATGTTCTTTTTTCAACTTCCTTTTCCACTCAAGCTTTGTGAAAGTATATATTTTTTCATATTGCCACCAGTTCCTGTAAAGCCCCTAACAGGAATAAGTGACACTTTTCTCAGTCTTTTTGGAAACTGATTTCCCTTATCCACTAAAACAATGTCCTCGTGGGTAGCAAACTTTTAGTGTAGAACTTTGAATTTCCTTGAGCACCTGTTGCATAGGTATCCAAAAAACGTTTAGTGAGCTGGGTGAGTGCTTTGTATCTTTTGGAAACAGTAAACTATAGCAGAGAACTTGACAGACTGGTCTGAGATGACACTAGTTGCCTTTACTAAACATGTGTTTTACAGTAGATCCTAAAGCTGCTGTAGTTCAGTCTCAGTATTTTGTTTTTTGTTTTGTTTTGTTTTTGAGACGGAGTTTCGCTCTTGTTACCCAGGCTGGAGTGCAATGGCGCAATCTCGGCTCACCGAAACCTCCGCCTCCTGGGTTCAGGCAATTCTCTTGCCTCAGCCTCCTGAGTAGCTGGGATTACAGGCACGTGCCACCATGCCCAGCTAATTTTTTTGTATTTTTAGTAGAGACGGGGTTTTACCATGTTGACCAGGATGGTCTCGATCTCTTGACCTCATTATCCGCCCGCCTCAGCCTCCCAAAGTGCTGGGATTACAGGTTTGAGCCACCGTGCCCGGCCAGTATTTTGTTTTAAACTTAAACTTTTGTATCCCTAATAGGATTTTTTTTTTTTTTTTTTTTTTTTTTTTTTTTTTTTTGAGATGGAGACTGTGTCTCCTAGGCTGGATTGCAGTGATGCAGTCTCGACTCACTGCAACCTCTGCCTCCCAGGTTCAAGTAATTCTCCTGCCTCAGCCTCCCAAGTAACTGGGATTACAGGCATGCACCACCATGCCCAGCTACTTTTTGTATTTTCAGTAGAGACAGTGTTTCACCGTGTTGGCCAAGCTGGTCTCAAACTCTTGACCTCTAGTGATCCGTCTGCCTTAGCCTCCCAAAGTGTTGAGATTACAGGAAGGAGCCACCGCACCTGGCCAGGATGTTCTTTTTAAGCTTCTTCATTTATGTTGTGGTTATCAGGACAGGATTTTTGTTACGGTTTTAAAACAAAAAGGATAGCAGTTGAAGGACAGCCAATTTATTCCTTATTTACAGCTGCTCCTGGCAGCAATTCAGTTACTACAGTACTGGAACATTTTACGGAGTCTGTGACTGGTTAATCCCAATTCTTTTTATTTCCACATGAACAAAATCATTCTGTACCTGAGAGCAAGTTTCGCTTTTCGATGGAGGCTGAGGAGGTATCAAGCTGAAGTGAAGGTGCTATAAACATGTGCCATGGCTTAGGAAATCTTTTCACAAAGGTTGAGTATCAGAAGGTCTGAGATATCTTAAAATAGTGGCCTTCAAAATGTTTTCTAGCATATACCCAAATAAATTTCTAAAATTAGTACACTTCTTCATACATTTTGGGATTAACATTGTCAAAATAAATTTACACAGTTGTCAAGTATATGATTTCTAATATTTTTTAAATCTTTAAATTGTAAACAAAACAGGGCTAGGTGTGGTGGCTCATGCCTATAATCGCAGCACTTTAGGAGGCTGAGGCTTGTGGGTCACCTGAGGTCAGAAATTCAAGACTAGCCTGACCAACATGGCGAAACCACATCTCTATTAAAAAATACAAGCAAAATATTAGCAAGGCATGGTGGTGCACACTTGTAGTCCCAGCTACTCAGGAGGCAGGAAACTTACTTGAACCCGGGAGGCGGATGTTGCAGTGAGCCAAGACTGTGATACTGCACTCCAGCCTGGGCAATGGAGAGAGACCCTGTCTCAGAAAAAAAAAAAAGAGTTTGGAAAAATTTGACAAATCATATCATGTGAATTCAGATTTACCTCAATACCAAGAATTATGTTTAAATAGGAAAAAGAAGAGTTTTTTTAAACTTCTGTTTTAAGTTCATGAGTACATGTGCAGGTTTGCTATATAGGTAAACCCATTATGGGGGTTTCTTGTACAGATTATTTAGTTACCCAGGGATTAAGCCTAGTTCCTGTTAGTTATTTTTCCTGATTCTCTCCCTCCTCCCCTCTACTCTTGGTAGGCCCCAACATCTGTTGTTTCCCTCTATGTGTCCATGTGTTCTCATCTTTTAGCTTCCACTTATAAATGAGAACATGCAAATGAGAACATTTGTTTTTTTGTTCC